AAGCAGCAAAGCAAGTTTGTTTACGTGTAGAAAATCGTAACAGACGATGAAAAATAATTTAAGAAATTAGAGTTTCCATCATTAATTGTCTCACGTCGTGATAACGATGAAAATCTATTCGTCGCAAATCGATCGCAATCAGCGGCAACGCTCGTCGCAGCGATGATCCCAAACTCCTAGTACGAACTTGTCTGAAGTTGCGACAGGCAATCAGAAGCGTCAGTGGTACAAAGTTGTACCACTGGAGGTTGGTTGCTGCAACTCCAGACAAGTTCACGCCACGAGTTTGCGATCATCGTGTCACACACGGCATTGCGATCGATGCAGAAGAGCCTTAAAACAATGTGAAGCATGCCGCTTGGTCTCCCCGTATTTCCACTCGCGAGGTTTCACATCGCGCCACAACGTAATGGTAGGTTCAGTTAGGAAATGTAGGGCACTCGGTACGCGCACGCAGGAAGCATCACGCGAGCGTGCTTCTCTAGCCTCTGCGTGTCGCAACAATCATAAGTGTAATGTTGCGTGATGTGCGCCCCAATCATGATCGTTACAATAAAATGTTCCATTCCAGGGCACCGCGTTACGAAACAGCGCGTCCTAAATACGCGCTCGTGCTCCCTTACGCAAGAATCGTGGATCTAATTTCCGAGGAAGTGCTGGAAACGTCGAGCAAAAGTCCCTCGTTATAAAACGCGCCCGTCACATCGTCTGTCCGTCGTTTGCCGACGCTGATAATTATCGCTTCCCTCCACTGTCGCTCGTTCAGCGATTGTTCGTGGTTGTGCAACGCGCGAGAAAGAAGAAGCGCGCGCGCCGTTCGGTTTCTCGCTTTATCACCGCGATCGGCCGCGAGTTCCGCGCGTTTGTAAAATTGGCGTTACGCTTGGCACGTTACGCAAGCGCGGACACAATTTTCTAGCCCGCTCGACTCGCACACACGTCATCCGCCGTGCGCGTTTTCAGTCGTATGTACATATGCTTCTAAAACAGTTTAGATTCTATAGAGTTGGAATCTCAACAAACTGTCAAAATTAGAGAGCCATTATCGATGGGCTTGCGTAGTAATTATATTATTTAGTAATCATATTACTATTATTAATTATGTTATTATTGTGTAATCCCGTCGGACTTCCAATTCTGACAGTTTGGTAAGCTTCTAACTTCATTGTGTTTAAATCATTCTGTACACGCGGCTTCATTAATGCTCGCATATTTACTAGATATTTTCAACTAGCTGTGTCTCTTTTTCCACACATGCACTTTTTCGTAATCGTAGAGTATCCAAGAAATTAGAAACGATATTCGAAAACAACTGTGATAGTTTGACAATTTGAAGCTCAGTTCGTTAAGTAATACTTTCCATCCGTTCATATGTTACGCGTAATTACGCAAGCGAGTGATGTGTACCTACTTTTCCAATTCCCTTACTTTTCTGGTTTTTATAACAGTTCTTGGAAGATTTACCTATTGTTCATATCCAGGTTTTTCTAAATATACTTTTACTGCATTGTATCGCTTTCCTATTGATTATTCGTAATGCATGAACAGGCAAAATATTATCTTACGCGAAATAAAACAAACTGTTAGGCTATCACTGCTTTCAAATATCGTTCCCAATACTCGACAGTCATGAAGGATGCACATATAGAAAGTTGACACAGCTAGTCCAAAATATCTTGTAAATGTGTGTGTATTCGGGCATTAATGGAGCCGCGTGTATATTGAGACAAAAAATGTTTATTCGGTGGGTATCATAATAACATATTTACTTAAATTTAAATTCTTTCGTTTATATAAACAATTACTTTCATGAAAAGCAACAATTTTAAGAGAATATATATTTCCTCATTAGAAACAATTTTTGTACAAATATGTATATTTGTATAAGAGTAAATATCCATTGAATAATTTTTTTATTTTTTAGATTTTTTTCTCTCAATATAACTGATACTATACACTTGGTTTTAATACAGTTTGAGCACTCCTTTTTATGTATTTCGAAAAGTCGATGGTCGGAAAGCTTGTTTCTGATCGATCAGAAACAAGCTTTCCGACCATCGACTTTTCGAAATACATAAAAAGGAGTGCTTAAACCGTATTAAAATTTCTGATCGATCAGAAGATATTCTCTCATTGGACCATTGGCTGTGTTACGAACTGCATCGAAAAAGAAAATATTTATTAATAAGAAAATAAAACCAATTACATGTACGATTAGAATTGCGTCGTTTCTCAATAATCATCCGTGATTGTGCATTTTCTTTTGCGCGCGCGCGTGTCGTTTAACGACGCGGGTCACCTATTCACTCGTACCGATCGTCTGTATGCAGTGCGAGAAGCGCTCCACATGAGAGGAGGAGGAGGAGGAGGCTCCACGAGTGGCGCGCGCGGTTGCAAAAAGACGCGAGCGTAATTAATCGACCTTGTAACCGACCGAGAAAAAGCCGCGAGCTAGATTTAGCCGATGCAGGGAGGCATTCTCTGCCTGGGTTACGTGAACGTGCCTCGCCATTTTGCCTCGTCGCTTATTCCCATTCGACACCGGCTCGTCTCGCGTTTCGACCTTCGGACGTCGTCGGGAAAAAGAACCATTGTTGGGGCGCTCTCTTCGTGGAGGAAAAGAGGGTCCGGCGGGCGAGCGGGGGGCGCGATGCCGAAGAGGAACGCGGAGGGGAACGCGCGACGAAGCGACTAGACTCGCCGTCTTCCTGCCTTCCTCTCTTTTTATCCTTTTTACCGATCTCTCTCTTTCTCTCTCCTTTTATCTCTCTCTCTCGTGTCTCTTTGGACCAACTCGTTCTTTACGCCGAAGCATCCGAAAAATCTATCTCCGAAAAGTAAAAGTTCGTCGAGGACTCGTATTATTTCCCTCCCAAAATTCAATAAAATTGAAATAGTTAAATCTCTATTCTCGAGTTATCTTTTCTGTCATAGAAATTTTGCTAGATATCAAGATTATGTATCTCATTCTCTACGATATCAATTAGGAATTCCCCATTCTTATTTCAAATATGGTTTCCTTATTTAGAGTCGGAAAAGAAATAATCTGGGAACTCTTGCTTTTTCAATCGATAACGTTAGTAACGTCAGTATACTTTATAGTATTAAGAACGCCATTTTTTTTTAAATAATCAACTATTGTATATTCAATAAAATATAAATTGAAAAAATAAAATATTTTTAAAACATTCTGAATACTAGTATTTTATTGAACAATGAAATTATTTGAAAAGTTTTGAGATTATTTGAACATGTTTTGCTCAATTCTAATGTAAAATGAAGACCACTGAAACCAAGAAAAAATATTGGGAGACATTTGGGTTTTCAATTTAGAATTGCATGTTTGAAACATTATATTTTTAACCAAAACTCGCAATTATATTTGAGATTCGGGCAGATCCTAATTAGAATGCCAAGAAATATTTTATGCGGGTTTTTCTTTTTCAATTTACGTTTTCTGCCACGTGTTACTACTTCGATAACGGACCTGGCATAAATCAGCATATTACGCTGTAACGTCCGCCGGAGAGAGGTAGCCTTTACACCGTACGTATGTAGGTACCGAATGAGCGGTGACACGCGAGTATCGCGTGCGCCTCCACGATCGCAGGTGCACGTGCATTCACGTCGGTCTGTCCCCTCGGCCGTCCGATACAATGCGGAAATGCGGCGGAAGTGTAACGAAGCCGCTAACTAGTACGAGGAGCCCTTCGGCGGAAGCGAGCCTAGCCTCTCTCGTATTCCGCAGACTCAGCGTCGAATTACTCAGCACTCTATCCGGCTGATCTTAGTCACCTAATATCCATCACTACGAGATCGTTAATGAGCGCCCGCGCACGTCCATCGCCGCAATTATCGTTGGTTACTCATACGCAGCGTTTATCATCCTGTTGCCCACGAGATGACGACCTATGGACGACGGACGGAACGTCTCGCGGTGCGATACTTGTCGGATTCTTCATCTGAATCTCGCTCGTTGCAGAACAACATTCGGGCAATAACATATACAAGGTGTCCGGGAACAATGGTGCCATCACTCATGACGATGTATATCAATTCTAAATGGAATTGCAATTCTAAATGGAAAACCCAATATGTTTTCTTGGTTTCAATGGTCTTCATTTTACATTAGAATTGAACAAAACATATGTTGACTTTTCAAATAATTTTATTGTTCAGTAAAATACTCAAGGTTAAAAATATTTTATTTCTTTAATTTGTATTTTATTGAATATACAATAGTTAATTATATATATTAGATCAAATGGAATAAAATAAAACCCAATATGTTTTCTTAGTTTCAATGATCTTCATTTTACATTAGAATTGAACAAAACATATGTTGACTTTTCAAATAATTTTATTGTTCAGTAAAATACTCAAGGTTAAAAATATTTTATTTCTTTAATTTGTATTTTATTGAATATACAATAGTTAATTATATATATTAGATCAAATGGAATAAAATAAAACCCAATATGTTTTCTTAGTTTCAATGATCTTCATTTTACATTAGAATTGAACAAAACATATGTTGACTTTTCAAATAATTTTATTGTTCAGTAAAATACTCAAGGTTAAAAATATTTTATTTCTTTGATTTGTATTTTATTGAATATACAATAGTTAATTATATATTAGATCAAATGAAATAAAATAAAACCCAATATGTTTTCTTGGTTTCAATGGTCTTCATTTTACATTAGAATTGAACAAAACATATGTTGACTTTTCAAATAATTTTATTGTTCAGTAAAATACTCAAGGTTAAAAATATTTTATTTCTTTGATTTGTATTTTATTGAATATACAATAGTTAATTATATATTAGATCAAATGGAATAAAAAATTCCTGTACCATTTTTCAAAAAACTACGTAAAATTTTGAGTTATTAGTAAAAAAATTTCGTGAATAATTACCTAGATAAGCTGTAATGGCAATGTCTATATATTAAATTTCTTTTTTTTTAATAATACGCAATACTGCAACTAAGTTTACGCTTATCTAACAGTTTATATTTCAGTAGTATCACTTTTGTGAGGAACTATTCCATTGAATATTTCCTTCTATATACTAGTGATTTTTGAGTAGTTAAGGTGCTTTCGACACTAGATCAAAAGGTTTGGTCCTCTTGAGTCTCCGCACAACGTTGTCTCGGTCCATTAGGTTCAGCATAAGTAGGTTGTCGTGTTTTAGAAGCCATACTTCGTGCTTCACTACTATGGATTTAATCATCGTTGACTGTAACCATTTTCAAGTCTTTATGGATATCATTATTACGTGCATACCATGCATTCACAATTCCACACAGTACTTTGTCTTGGAAGTTTTGAATTATTTGGATATTGGATTTCTTGGTGCAACTCCATAATTTCAGCCCACATGTCCAAACCGGTTTTAGCACTAGTTTATACAATAATAACTGGTTGTGCACATTTAACTTCGATCGCCGCCCAAGTAACCAGTACATTTTCTTGTACTTGAGATTAAGTTCTTCTTTCTTTCTCTTAACATGTGTCATATTAAATCTAATTAACAAAAAAGTCTTCTACCATTTTGTAAATAATCACGTAGATTCTTAGTAGTTATTAATTAAAGAAGATTAGCGCATGACTATACGTGATAATACATCAAACTTCGTTAGATGATTTTTTTCTTAAGTTTGGCCTAATATACAAGCACACGGCGCTAAACGTTATCATCACAAATTATCTATCACATGACGTGTAATCATTCATGAACCTTCATTGGTTAATAACTTATCATTTTACATGGTTTCTTGAAAAATGATAGAGGAATTTTTTCTTCAATTTGACGTAATCTACATCCCCACGGACGATGGCGCCATTATTCTGGAACATCCTATAACAAAGATCAAACATCTATGTACCTTTATTGTAGCAAGGATGAAGTTGACATTCGCAGTTTAAGAGAGTGAGAAAGCTGTTTTGTGACTATTTTCTTCCTCACTCTAGCTAAGAGCGATAGTTAAAAGCCACTAAATTCCTTGTAAATAAAAGCTTTGCTACATACATATTTTAAGAATATTGCGGCTCTTGAGCCGCTCTAAGCTAGAGTAAACTAAAGGATAATAGTGCCAAAACAGTTTTCTTACTTTATCTCAAACTGCCAATTTTACTCTGTGAAAATAATGCTTGATCTATGTATACAGGCTGTCTGGATTTAGATTCCGCGAGCGCTCATTTGTACAGATAGAACTCGTTAAAACAAATAGAAAAGTCCTCTATCACTTTATAAACTACTACGTTAAAACGAATAATAAAGTTCTCTATCATTTTTATAAACAACTATAGTGCAATTATGTTAATGAATGAGATGTTAATGAAAAGAAATTAGCGAATGAACACGTGCGATGCAAATGTCTGTATGAACATATTTGGGTTTGTTTACTGTTCGCTAGCAAACGTGAAAATCGGATAACAGCGAAAGACGGAGTAATGTTACAAGCAGTTAGCAGCGTGCTCCTGCGTTACATGCGTGATCTTGAGCTGCACGTCTATATTTGCTGTTGCTAGGAGATTGGAAAACAGACATATTCCTTCAGAGGTTATCTCACCACATTGTATAGATTGTGAGTGATTCCCTTTCATTAATATTTTCAGAATTATCATGGTAGTTAACGAAATAATAAAGAATCTTTCTATTCAAGTTTAACAAGTTCTATTCGCACACGAGCGCACAGATATCCTAAATCCAGACACCCTCTAGATTACAAATCAATTTTTTTTCCCTGTAGACCTTGTAGACCAACTTTCTTTTATTAATATGCCAATCATTACTGTGGTAGTTTACAAATTGTGTAAGATTATTGTCTCTAATAATCGAATGTTCGATTATTACCGATAACTGATAACGTTTCTATGGTAGTCTCGTAAACAAATCGTTCTAGTAGATATGTTTAATATGGTTATATTACTATTTCGCGGTAGAATAAGGATTTACATCACTAACTTGTTCCTTTCCAAGTCGAGCTCAGGACTTTATTGCAGAAATAAAATGACGCTGAGCAATTAAACTTAATTCTCAACTGAATTAATACAGAATGTTTGATTGGCCTAATGCCTCAATTAATGGGTCATCTAAATATTTCCGACTCAATTGCGATTCTCTAATTATGTCTCTCTTCGGTTTCTCACTGACTTCTTACTTTTATCCTTCAGGCTAGCCCGGCTCTTATAAAAAGTAAGACTAATGCTGCAATTCTAAGCAGAATCGTAAGTCTCGTAACTTGTTCTCGTAAAATTCTGCAAGTGCAAGTCTATGCAATATCATATGTCGTACAATTACTCGAATATCTACGATTTCATGTAATTTACGATATTTACAAGTGATTGTACGACATATGATATTGCATAGACTTGTAAATCTACTCATAACAACGAATTTTACGAGAACAAATTACGAGACTTACGATTCTGCTTAGAATTGCAATATAATTCGTAAATAGTAACAAGATGATCCGGTATGTTTTGATTTCTCCTCAAGCTCTTTGTTATCGCTCGATGTCCGTGTTTCGCGGCGGCTTTGTCCCGACGTGTAACGACTTCATTTCTTACGATAGCACAGAGGATTTTCTATTCAGTTCTATTCTGCCTAACAAGTTCTGTCTACCTGCGCACGAGTGCACGGACACCTAAATCCAAACTCTCCGTTTGGTTCGAGTCTTTACCTAGGATTCTCAGCGGGAGCACCGTAGTCTCTCTGCGTCTTGTCGCGAACCAGCCGAGCCCTTACGCCTCGCGAGGGTCTGTAGTAGCTGCATGCATATGTGCGTGCGTGCGTGTGTATCGTACACGCGCGCCTCCGCTCTTCAGCTGCCGAGGCCGCGCGCGCGCGCGTCGCAACACGCACGGCAACACCGCCGCGTTCACACTCGCGCTCGGGCTGTTGCGTAACGCTGCGGAGTCATGCGATAGGATAGATCCGTCGCTACGCGTAGCGCGGCGCGGTTCAGCGCAGAATGGTGCGGTGTGCGGCGGGGATATACGTGAGGAGGATAGACGGCGACGAAGCCGACAGCGGCGGGACGGGGGAGAGGGCGAGGGGGGGAGCCGAGTTCAGCCTTGAAACGCCTCGTCACGAGCGCCATGCACGAACGTTGGACTCGCCACAGATTGCACGCGGACTCACGGCGATTCCTTCTCTCTCCTCGGAGCTTTTCCCACGTCCCGCGAATCACGAAGGGAAAGGGCTTTCACGCACACGCCTGAAAGCCCTCCTCGCGACGATAACTTCTCTTTAAAATCTAGATGTTGCGATATAGAGAATTTGCGGACAATTCAAATACGCGTGATTGCCAAAGAGTTCAAAGGGAATATATTCTCCTCAGTGGCTAGGTTTTTATTGCGGTTTGAAGTTTGAGAATACGATATAAATTTAGGAAGTGATTCTTTCTGGTTAATGTTTCAGAAATGTTAAATTGAAGTACGTTAAATATTGTATATTTTACATTGATAAAAAAACTTGGTACTTGTAACTATAATCGCATAATGAAATCGTTATTGTAAAAAATCATTTTGTGTAGTATAAGTGTTACTATAGTTTAGTGGTAATAATCTTATTGCGTATTCCTATTGATACTTTTTTGTTAGGACAACAAGAATATTTGACGTCAAAAGTAATTACAGTTTTAATGAGATTGACTAATTTTTTCTTAAAGTGTACCAGCTGAGTTTGAGAAAGAGAGGGGGGAGGTAGAGAGAGAGATATGTATAGACGTTGCGAAACGAACGCGTTTCCGACAAAACGGGCCATCGATCCAGCGCACTCGAATATAGTAAAATAGGTTACTAGGTAAGACTCGGTTTTCATTGCGGAGTGTTTCTGCAAAACTCCATCTCGAGGAAAACTTTTCGAAATATTCGTTTCTTCGCGGCATTGCCCTTTTTGACACTCAATTCACAATTCGCGCTCTCATTCATTTTGCGCTATATACAGGGCGTTCGTGTGGAATGACGTAAGATTTTCATTCAGGTGTTATTTCAAACGAATAATACCGTATCTCTCCTCCAAGGATATTTACCGACATATTCATTAATCAACGTAGAAGAAGCGTTATTTAATAATGCGACATATTAAATTAAATCCTCTTCGCACTTAACGGATTCTCTCTTTAGCCAGACTGGAAGTGAAAATTTTCAATTGGAAATTTTCCTCAACGAGAATATCTTACAGAATTCTCGGTGGTGTGTCACACACACACACACACACACACATTTCTAACTGCTGAATTCCCCCGGAGTTACTTATACGATATTTATTGTACGCACTTTCGAAGCCTCCTGCGTATCCGCAATATAATCGATACGCGACGCGAGCACAAAACTCCCGCAGCCGTCGTGGAAACGGCGGGTAATCCGCGTCGCTTCCAGCGGGAAATCGCCTTCCCCTGATGAACGCGACGACCGGGGCAGCCAGGAAGCGGAAGCGACCGTGCGAATCGTTAAGAAAAGCAGAGCGGAAGAGAGCCGGGGCAGCGCTATCGGCAGATCGGGATGCGGGAGGGGTCGAAGGAGATAAGAAAGTCGAGGGAAGGAAGAAAAAAGCGGTTTAGCAGGAGGGTAGCTCGGCTTCGACCTCGTGGTAGGCCTCGATCGATGCCGTTGCCGTGGCGACCGGGGCCGGCACCGTGGTGCTCCACTACTGATTATTTATGTCAAAGATTCCCCCCTCCCTCCTTCGCCCTTCCCCCCCCCCATCCCCGGTCTCCCCACGGTACGAAACGCAAACGCGAGCGAGCTACCCCGTTCTGGCGAACGGAGGGGCGAACGCTCGATCCGGCAGCCTACTAGCCTACCCACGTGACACTGAACATCACGGGGCTCACGGGGGGATGGATGAACCGCGGGGTGGTTGGAATACGTGGATAAAGAAGCAAAGAGGGTGCACAGGCAGGGTGAACCAGTGGCGTAGAGCGTTCTGAGGCAAAAATCCGGAAAATTCCTTTTGCATATGGTAATTTGCACGAGCACTTCTCACTGGAGGAATATATATCGCTTTAACGTAAATATGTTTACTGAATATATCTATATAATATTAGATGTTAGGAGAAATATTCGGTACTTTGAGTATCACTGTCAGGCAATGCGAACGCTCGAAGAAGTGACACTCCTTGATACGCGTAAGCAACTCGACGAATTGTAAAGAGTTCGATTTCGTTATGTGAATATTAATGTATACAGTGCAATTATTAATATATATATATATATATATATATATATATATATATATATATATATAAACATTGTCAATTATAATTGTCTCTGGGCGATCTTTTTTCGTTCGAAGGAAAAGGTGTATATCTCGAGTTGGGGTACGAGGTGAGTCGCTGAAAGTCGACGTTTCCGCCACTGCGAGAAGGGTGAAAGGAAAGGAAGAGGAGACGGTAGAACAAGACGGCGGAGGGGATCCAATGAAATACGTACGTAGATCACCGAGGAAGAAGAGGGTAAATGGGCCGCGTCGAGAGTACATAGATATAGACACGTTGTAGTCTATTCAGGATCTGGGACGAGTCCCTGACATTCATAAACGATCGCTCACGGTTTATTAACAATATCAACAACACCGATGTGTGGCCGAAGTTAAAAAGAGCGTCTACGTCGCTTGCCGTTCCTCTTCCTGTCACTCCCCTTTCCCCCCCGCCGTCCAAGGAGACAAAAGTAAACAGCGCGATGTAACGAACACAAATATATCGCGAGCGGAACGATATCGTTAGGGATGTGATCTATTCTAATTATTGGCGACAATAAAAGCGACAGCAACTGGTGAAAGTGTAACAATAAGTTTGCGCGCGGGAAAGAACAATAAAGAGGCAGAGAAAGAGAAAGAGAGAGAGAGAGAGAGAGAGAGAGAGAGAGAGAGAGAATAAAAATACATTTCTTGTTCGTGATGTTCGAATTAGAATAAGTCAAATTCATAAATATTATCTTAATAAACTCTCTCTTTTTTTTCTTCAGGAATACATTATTTTTGTGCTTTAAAAAAAATTTAGTTAGCTTTAGTTTATTTAAGAATATATTAAATTCTTGTCTTAAAGAGATTAAAGATTTTTTTACAGGATATAAGAATATATATATCTAAAGATATTCCACAGGATATCTACTGTATCTACATCACAGGATATCTACTGTACTAGTTACTGTATCGTTTGTCAGGAATACAACAAAATTTATTGGAATCTATTATTAGATCTTCATTATTCATACCGGATTGAATTATTTGCTCGATTGATATTCAAAATATTACTATATATTCAACCTTTTGCTCCCAGTTGTTATCCTTCTTTCTTCATTTATTCTCGCAGGTCAAATTTATTGGTTACTATGATAAGGAAGAGAAAGCAATGTCCAGGATGCTTGCGCTGGAAATTTTTGAGATTCGGGATAGTAGTGCAATATAATAATCGACGGAAATAAAGTCACGATTGAAAAAGTAAAATATTTTAGCGCAGTGCAAATAGCACACTGCATTATATTAAACAAAGGGGTAGCGGGGGAGGGAGAGTAAGAGAGCAAGGGAATATTTTAAAATGGCGTGCACAGAGTGGAAGTGGGAGTGAGAGCGAGCGAACGGCAACTACTCTCCCGGTGGGGAAGGGTGTTTTCGACCCAGTTTCACCCTCGCAAGGTGGTGGCAATCGATACTGCGCCTAAGGGCCGCATGGAACGCGATCGCAGTGCCACTGCTGTGCTGCCGAAAGCGAGAATTCGAGCTTCACTGCGCGCGACGCCGCTAATGTACACACACGTCGTGACCCGAAAACCCCGACGATGTAATTTTTAGCGCCGACGTTCGAGCGTAGAATCGCCCGAGTGTGGGCGCCCGATTCGCGCCTAATTCGGCACTCAAGACTCAAGTCTAAAATACGTAGTGTAAACTTAGCGTATGAAATAAGAATAAGAAGTAAAACTAATTTATTTCACTTTTATATATATATATATATATATATATATATATATATATATGTGTGTCTGAACTTGTAGCTTCCTTACACCGGAAGTACTTATTTGACAGAAAGACTTTCGCAAGCGTAAGAGGGAACTATAGGCGGAGTACAGGCGTAAGCGAAATAAAATATTTTTATTTCCTGTTTCTGCTGTCACGCCAAGCTTGCTCCACGTATTGTAGACGACCACTCAGTGCACGCTGCCCGGCGTTTTTTCTCGCTGCGCGAGGTAGATGCAATAAGTAAATGTAACGCGCCTAAAAGTGGCTGCGCTTTCGGGGCTACACTGCAAAACGCGCGTTCTCGCCGGAGAGCCGCTGTGACGAGGCCGCAATTAAAGTCTCGGCGATTGGACCGCGTTTGAGCGCGCGATAAGCGAACGTCGTGAAAGCTAAACGCCCGCATTATAACGCTTTTATCTGCTACGTAACCGGCGTGCAACAAATAACGGCTATCGTGAGGCGTCGACACGTTGCTGATAATCCCGACAGTGGGCGGATATGCGGAAGAAATGCGATCCGCCGACCGAACGGACGGACAATACGCGCGGGCACACCTACGCGATATCGGATGCTGTGAAAAAGCGGCTCTCTAATACGCGCCACTCTTTCTCACTTTCTAAAAGAAAAAGGGAGGAAAAACGTGCGGTTCACGGACGATATATATCTTTAATAATCGTCTAATAGCGTTGCCGAGACCTTCGTGCCGCGAGACAACGAGAACCATGGATCCTCTGAATCTAGCGAGCATCAGAATCACGAAGAGGCCAAAATAACCCTTCACGACGGAACGACGGTGTGCTTTATTTATGACTCATTGATCACTAAATAGACGAACGGCCAGGTTCTGCGTATTCACATCAGACTGCAGCACGTAACAACACAGCGCAGGGGGAATCGCAGAACACCCTTTTCCCTCGTCGATCAACATTCGCGCGAAGGGACTGGAAATGGACTTTACCGATGTGTCGGAGAGATACTGCTTATACCGCGTATATCCGGAGGGAATAGTTAAATGCTGTACACGGGATCCGATAAATTAGGGCTATCCGCTGAAACGGGTTGAATCGGATTACATTGATACTATGCGCGAAACGTACACGCCTCTACGTATATACGCGCGTAAATGGAGAACCGCCGTCTGTCGAAAGTCGCATTCCTTCAAAATGTCGATGTCAGCGATTCGTCTGTCCACGACAGGTGGCCGAGTCGCAACAAATTTCGCATAACCGTGATTTGTAACCCATATTTATTTAATTAAATACATCAATAATTATATATATATATATACATATATATATATATATATATATATATATATATATATTTATGTGTGTGTGTGCGTGTGTATACATATATATTTAGAGAAAGATCCGGAACATATTGAAAATATAATACAATTACTTGAGCGATTATCGAACTAAGCACGAGTCCCTCGAATGTTCCCTTCTCTTTAGTCCTACTTGAGTCACGCAGTCCTGCGAATTTTACCGGATAAGGACGCCGGATCGACGAATTAAACTTCTCAGATCGCAGAATACGAGCAATGCAACCGGGACACCGTTGAAAGATCGTTTAGTTCATCGTTCTTTATTCTCTAGACGTACATCAGTGCGCTACAATTATCTTTCTCTTAGCTACTGTTTATCTTTGTCGCAATATCGCAAATCGCGCCGTCTTCGTAATCGATCTAAACGTAAATAACTAACAATTATTCTTAATATTTACACTTATATCATACTATATATTAGTCGCTCGATATAATACAATTGCATAAATCACTGTCCGCGGCTGCTAAATAACATCTCGCTCCTCAAAATCCTTCTGTAGGATCTTGGAGGAACTATTATGGGACACTCGCCTACTTAAAATCCCTGGATCCTTCTCAGATCGATCTTCTTAAGTTTCTAAGTTCTTTCAACTTTTCGTTTATTTATTTTTTGTTTGAACTCTCGTCAGTTCTTCGACTTTCGCTGCTTTTACACAATTTTTGGATTTTTACACCTTCGAGACTCTCGATCGAGAGCATTTTTTTTTTATACCTGAGATAATGCGAAAAACTTGGATCCTTGGCACTTTAACCTTTAAGTTCTGGAATTGTTGAAATTTTGGGTGAAATAGGATTTCATAGATCTTCACGTCCAGATTTGTATATCTCTGGTCTTAAAAACTTTGCGGGGATATTTATTTCTTAAAATCTTTGAACTTCGAGAAATTCTCTTTTTCTATCTGGGATCGTCCGTTAGAAGGATCATCAAATTATCCTTCAAAGGATCATCGTATTAGATCCTTGAGTCTCAGATTTCTGGAAAAATCTACTTCTCAGCCTGCGGCCCTTCATTCTTCTCGCGATGTGTGAGAGTGAAATAGTAGAATATAAGGAACTTGATTAGCTACTAATCTTTGTTACGTGTCCTTGCATTTTTTTCGGCAAATCACATGCACAAGGATACCCTCCTCACATTAAAAGATCGTCTATAGAAAGCGAGGATGGATGTCTTGATACGATGTTTTTTTTTAGGTTTTTTTCGTCAAATTGATATGAGCAAAATAATATAAACAAAATGTGCCATAGATTCTCAATTGCAAATTATCAAGCGAATTTCACATGAAATTAAATCCTACAAAAAAGAATTTTTTATATATTAATTTTTGTTCTTTTCTTCCAAATTCCGAGTTTCTTTTTACTTCTGAATTTTTTAAAAATCTAATAAAATTCTTAAAATTTGGAACATTAGAACTTTCCTCCTCCTCAGTTCCTTAGATAAACGACAATGCGACAATCGATATTTTGTTTGCTTTATTCCGCGGATATCGGTGAGATCATATTCTGCGAAAAAGCAACAACCTGTAGGGATTTAAAGAAGATGGAACATATTGTTCCTATTTTACAATCAATATCATTCGAACTTCCTCCCTAATATTGTTCTTACGTTTTTGATGTTCTCAGCAATATCTAAATTTCGTTTTCTCCTGAATAAAATCTTGTTTACACGTAGTTGTGTGCTTTTCGTAAAACTTCACACAATCGAATCCGTAAATATTCGAAAGAAAAAAGAAAAATAATTGAAAAATCAAACATTGAAAAGATCAAACAAGAACAATGAAGGGAGAACACTGCTTGGGAGTACCGCGCGAAATCAACTTACGACTTTTCAATATTTTACGCATACTCGGACTTGTATATGAGGTATATATTAACATCTACTGTCTATATTCTAAGGTCCGTGAATTTATCGTACAAAACAGCGGTTGGCAGAGATACGGAAATTTATAAGAGACTTCAAGTGGGAGTAAGATATATTAGCCGTAGTTTCTTGTAAATGCTAAAGTTTCCGGGGAAGAGAAATCGTTAATCGCGTAGTCGAAGCTGAGTAAAGTAAATCGTGAGGCGTGTCGTAAAAGTAAAACCTTTTAGGACATGCTCGACGACTTCTGGCTGTCGTTCTTGTCGAGAGCCGACACGTGGTCGGGACTTTCTCCGTGTGCATAACGCTCCCACATCTTTGTGTACAGCATCTCCATACCCATCGCGTATAATTTGCAGTTGAACAGTGGACTGTCCGATCGTGCTTTCCAAACCTTAGCTCGAGTGGCTTTCAAGCTAGGAAAAAGGAAGTCCATATTATATACGTTGCTAACTATTCTTTCATGAAGCAAGATTATCTTTTTTACACATAACATTCATTTTTTTGGATGGAAAATTTAACAAAGTTCAATGTGAAATGAGCATTGAAAAACTTACTATTCTCTATCAGTGCCGAGCCTGATAGCGATATCCTGATATTCCTGGCGTGTACGTGCCACCAATTCAGGACAACCAAGTGTGTTCAATTGACTAGCGGCGACGCGAGATGCAAGAGTCTCGCCCGGTAGCGTGACCACTGGTGTTCCAGTCCACAAAACGTCCATACTGGTTGTGTGTCCATTGCAGAGAGGTGTATCTAAACATACGTCAGCCAACTGGCCTCGTCTTACATGCTCTTCCTTAGCGGCGACATTGCTGAAAAGGATCCTTCCGGGTGTAAGACCCAATTGTTGCGCAGTAGCCTGGAGATTGGGTTCACCAACTGCTGGGAAACGAAGCAACCATAATACGGAATTGGGCACATGTTTCAGAATCTGAAATCAAATTAGTCAGACATTAACTATAATGCGATGCAACAGGAGTTAATTTCTTCAAGCTCTTCAGTCAGTCGGTACAGTCATGTTAGATATTAGAAGCCAGAAATTATAATGCTGTCAGGAGCCTTAAAAAAAACTTTCGATCAATTACTCACATGTGCCCACATGTGAAGTGTAAGTGGATCAATCTTGTATAACTGATTGAAATTGCAGTATACAACGGCATCCTCGGGCAAACCGTACTGCTGTCTAGTCGTGATGACAATATTCTGAGGCACCTCCTCGCCAGTCGCAGTTTTATTGTTTACTTGCGTGGTGGCCATGCCATTTTGCACGACAACGCCGTTTACGGACATCTGACATTGCCCGGAGGCAATCATCGTTTCGATCGGAGTGGTAGTCGGTAACTCTGCTACCTTCAAGGAGATCTCAACGGGTTTATTCTTGGCGTCTGGTACCACCACCTCTCGTATTTCTTTCACCAGAGTATTCTCAATCATCGGAGAAAGATCGGTAGCATTGATCACTGCCACGTTGTCCGCGACCTTGCCTTTTTGATTCAACTTGTCTGTTAGAATCAAGCGTTCCTTCAGATGAGGGAACATTTGTCTGAAAAAAAAAATCAATTAACATGGTTATAAATAAGCAAATTGAAATAAAAACTCTCTCTTGCAAAATATTTTTGTAAAATCGTGATCGTATAATTTTTTTTGTATTTTAACGTCTTTTCCGTTTATTTGAATAATCTTCGTGAAATAAAAAATTATGTACTTGTGGTCCCCGATGAAGTAAGTGTGCGGCATGTAGGCCAGCTTCTCGCTGTACTGACTCGCGAGTTCCAATGGCGAAGTGACCTCGTCCGTGATGAGATAATCCATAAAACTGGCGCCGGAAGTGCCGGGATAACCCAGCCACATGACTTGTACCGGTGCCGGTCGTAATGCAAATATCTCGTTCCTAGCACCCTTCGTATAGCCATTCATGTTAACCAGAATGTGGATGCCATCCGCGTTGATGCGATCAGCAGCTTTGCCGTTGCACGCTACTTGCGACAAGTCGACGAAATGCTCGGTCTCGCGCGCGATCTTTGCGCGGAAAGTCGTGCCGTCATCATTGCTAAGCGCGTAACAAAATATCTCGACTTTCTCGCGGTCATGCAGACCGGGAATCGATTGCATCAGATGGCTAGTCGGATGGTTGCCAAAATCGGACGAAACGTAACCAATCTTTAACCGTATGCCAAGTGCTCGCGGATATTTGTATGGTTGCTTGTGAAGGACGTGAATCTGCAATAAATCATTCGTTTGACATATAAGTACCGAAGTAATAGTGAAGATATGTAACCTGACAAACGAGACGGAATATTAATGTTAATTTCACAGTTACTTATTGAAGCAAAAGGAAAGTTTCTGTTATATTTTACAAATCTCAATCGATCCTAAATGTTATCTTATTGATATCTTTTATTTTAACATACTTTGCAAAAATCTTGAATGAATTGTCTTATTTCTGATGTCATCAATGAATACGATTGTGGCGAAGGATCAGAAAAACGTCTGTTAAATTGTTATTGAATTCGGTAAATGTGGAAGCTCACCTTTTCGATACAAAGATTCGCATGCCTAGCAGCGATCGCCTTCCTGAATTCGTGTGACAAAGGATAGAGCATGGAATGATGTGGATGTACGCTAGGCAATCTATTTTTATCCAACTGCTCGGCGACTATGGACACCAGCTTCTTCATTCTGGCTTCGTAGTCAGTCCAGTCGCATACTATCTGCAAACAATGTGCCAGGTTGCAGTAGGCGTCCGGGAAGTCTGGCTTCAATTTCAGGGCGGTTCTGTAGGATTGAATTGCTTCGGGAATGTTGCCGGAATCCTTGTGGATCGATGCCAAATTGGAATGAGCATCGGCGAAAGCCGGATTGATCTGTATCGCCCTCGTGTAGCACTGTAGAGCACCTTGGATATCCTGCATCTCCTTCAGTGTGTTACCCATATTCGAATAAGCATCGGCGAAAGTCGGCTGTATGCGAATTGCTTCCTTGTAATGCATCAGCGCCTCGTTCAGTTTTCCCTGTTGCTGCAGAACGGAGGCGAGATTGCTGTGAGCAGCCGCGAATTCCGGAAATACTTCCAGAGCCTTAAGATATAAACGAGTTGCCTCCTCGATGAAGCCTTGCTCGCGCTTTATGTTGGCCTAGAGAAAAAAAGAGCAAACACAACGTTCACGTTTCTCGTTCACATTCCTTGATCATTATTTCTCGTGTTTAGTACGCAAAGGTACAATTTCTCACCAAGTTATTGAGAGAATCGGCGTGTGTAGGACAGAGTCGGAGGGCGGTATTGTAACATTCTTCCGCTTCAACCACTTGACCTTTTTCTTTGAGAGCGTTCGCCAAGTTGCAGTATGCATCAGGAAAGTTCGGCTGTAACTCGATAGCGCGTCGATATGTGTCGATAGCCAAATCGATAAGCCTGCAATATTAGAGATGAATGTAAAATAAATTGGAATTCATATATTCTGCTTAGCGTCAATTATCTTCTTGACACTTTCAAATTCCATTAATCCTTATGTTTAAACAAGGACTTATATTTTCTGTTAGGCAAAAGATTTGTCAGATCCACTTTTCAGTCCAATGAATAATAAAAGTCTGAAAGATCGGTGAATTGTTCTATTTGGAAGTAAAGAATTTTCGAATCAGTTAATGAGCCCGTCAATTAAAAAATAAAATGGTTCTTTAACCTCTGTCACTGAATCGTACCATTTGAAAACTCTAACCGCCATTCAATCATAACATAAAAATAATGGCTACGTTCACAAAACAACGGTCGAGTAAGCACTCAATGCCATTGGAATATTCTTTCAGACCTATTATAGATCCAAAAGAATACTTCAATCAAAGGCGATAATCATTCAACGGTTGCACAACTATTGTTATTGTGTTTTCTGAACGTACCCAATGTTTTTTCGACTTGTTCGCGTTCAGCAGAGAAAGCTGCTTTGTAACTTTTGTAAAACTCGTGAATCTAATTGGTATATTTTTTATCTTGGCTGAATCTAAGAGGATATAGCAACTAGACCCACGAATTTTACAATAGTTACGAAGTAGCTTTCTCTGCTAAACGTAGTCACTGGCCGTAAAATTTATAAAAGAGTGTCTGACCAGTCGTTGAGTTGTACCACTTACGCCCAAGAAGGTGTATCGAGACGTATACACGCGCGTGTAGATGGCGCTAAATCAATAAATTTTTAACGGGTCTAACTGTTTAAACCGTTATTTTTTATTTGCTCCAAAACATTGGCAACGATCACCTTTAACGAAGAATCCAGATTGTAATAGACAATTCAACAGACGGATCTTTTATCTTCCTCAAATAGTACAACGGGTCAATTTTTGTATCTTAAAACTTGACACGAATCAACAACGTCAAGACAGAAGGTCATATTATTTATAAGTTTTACGATTGAATGATAAATCAAAATACTTATTCGTAGACACTTGCTCTTAATATATTTCGTCGTCTATTATACTTTTTTGTTCCCTTAATATTCCATTATTTACGAGACTTCATCTCTTACCGTTTAATTTGCCATTTTGTTAATTAATTTAATATGCCATATCATTGGGAACATGAACTTTGGCAAATCGTTGCCACGTAGATATGTGTGTTCTAATTTTCTGGATGATAAAATGTCAAACGACCAACTAACGCGAACAATAAAATGTCCGGCGAGGAAGTGTCTATGAATAAATGTTACGAGAAAGTGGTATACTGCAAACATGACCCATTTGTGAAAAAACTAAAGACTCTGAGCTATCAAATTTTTCCTGAATTATCTCATTATTATCTTTATGGAAGTTACAAAACGTTGAACTTTGCTTTGCTCGTTCTGTGATCGAGAAAATCACTTCTTTGATTTTTATACGCAGAATCGACTCAATGTCGAGTCAGATAGTACAAAATTTTTTTGTATTGTATATATATAATACAAAATGTTTTTATTTCGTGAATTCTTTTCTCAAAGAATATATCTTGACAACTATTATGACTGAACAATAGATCTGTGCAATTCCTTTTTTCTTACAACGGTAAGTCTGCAAAAGTCATTAAACATTATATAATAATTTATTATGTAAAAAATTATATTATAAAAAATAAAATGTTTAATAATGATCAATCGTTCTTGATGTTTGCTACGTTAGATTTAAAAAAAAATTTCTCCAGACCACGTTTTGTGGAATAACTTCTGTGTACATACTAGGAACTCATTAATTACATATAAAAATGTATCAAGAAGATTAATACGTACGCGATACTGATCGCCGTTAGGTTTCGTGGAGTTTATATACTTGTCTTTTTGATTGCAAACGCGAAACGCATTTTTATTGCAGAACTACACTCACCCTTGCTCGTAATAAACGCACGCCAAATTTCCGTGGACGACTGCATTGTTGGGGCTGAGATTCAATGCACGCAAGTAAGCCGCTACAGCTCTGTAATGATCGACAATTCGAGAATGATTATTAATTTCCGATCCCTCTTCCCGAGGGAAGACTCAGATGCGCGAAAGAGTTTCAAGTATCAATAACCAGGTGAACGTTATCCTATGGAAAAAAATCCGCGGAAAATACACACGTATATCTCAATCGCCACGGCGATTCGATCGCAATCGTAAAGACAACTAGTCGTTAATAAAACTCTCGAGGACACACGATCGAATCTGATGAACCTTTTAACGTAGCGCCTGATCCAAGAGACGCATCCAGGAGTGGTTGGTCGCGTGAGAGTATCCTCGATCTGAACGCGAAGCGCGGGCGCGATAGTGGTCGAGGGCGAGATCACCGTATAGACGACCACGCACTGGCAGTCCATTCCTTCCCCATCCCGGCTATATTGGATCCGCGGATCCCGAGATGCACGGATCCGAGTGCGTGGTGCGAAGTATCCTTGACAACGCGACTCGTTCGAATGGACGAGTCCTCGGGGACTGGGACGCGAGGATCCCGGTAGCCGAGGGGTCTCGCGGAGCGGATAATTCGAAAGCGCGTATTCATGCAAGATGTGCGCGGACAAGTAGCAAGGGAGTTTTGAAAGCGCAAAGCGTCGGGAACCCAATCCGGGTTCCCTCTTAACGACGACACGCGTCCTACAACGAACAGCAGCCCTATTCTCTGTGAATAATTTCTGGAGCCGTGACGGGTGATCCCTTTACAAGCATGTGAGATCGAAGTTGGATAACGAAGATCCACTGATTCTCTCTTGGTGTGCGCGCGTGTTGAAGCGGAAAATTGTACGAGCACGGGTCCAAGGATACGCGAATTCCCGGACGTTTTGGAATCCACTGAGAAGTGCGGGGAGTCGCGATTTCGGAGAGGCAGAAAGACAGCTGCACGAGCACGAGAGTCCCTACGTTCGTGCACACCACAGCGATCCTCGAATCCACGTGGATCCGAGGATCCACTTGATATCCTGAGGCGCCCGCACACGGAGAGATGTCGGAGCAGCAGGAGTTAAAGCGGGAATTACACAAGCGCGGGTCCTTCGGCGACGGCGGGCGGGTCCTGCGGAGAACAGCTCGCGACGCTGGCAGCAGGAGGAAAGCAGCTTAACTCGCGAGCGGACGAGCGAGGTTTCTGCTTTTTCGCGAAAGACGCGAACGAGCACGCGTATCCTCCCACACAACGGGGGGCGAAAAGGGCTCCCTCCGTGGGGGCGGAGCGGCTTCTGGAATCGATAGCTGTCCTCGAATTCCTCCCACTTTGTGCGTGCGAGAACACTCCGCAGGGAAACGCGTTCCGCGGATCCATTATCGTCGGATCGACCGACGGCGCGTTTTTATGAATACCTTTCCTTTCAGCTCGAGCTATTTCCATATCGTTATACATACGTGACTGAAGAAACAAAAAAAATATGCAAAAGAAGTGGAAAAACTAAAATTAACCAACGTTGGATGTTGGTGTCTTGTTTGTTTTATCATGCCAGGATTATCATAAAACGGTTCGTGACATTGAGACATTTTCACACCATCGATCGAAGATTAAGGCCTACTAATTCTGTAATTTTTAACGACAATGTCATTATCGTTATGTTGTCGTTGCGCAGGTATTAATACATGATAGAAAAGCTGCGCAACGACACACAATAATATCGTCGTTATTAGGGATGTTGTGATACTACTGATACAATACTAGTATCGATATTTTTCTTTCAATACCAGATATTTTTGTATCGATATTCGCACCTATATCTGTACTACTTCGATTCAATATTTTTTCGAGCAATCGCATGCTAAAAATAATTGCAGTATGACACATGCAATGTCACTAGCATGATACTGTCTTGAATATCACTAGTTGTTATTAGTCTTTTCTACCATATGTTATATCTACGCAATAACAATATAACGGCATTGTCGTTAAAAGTTATAGAATAAGTCTACTAGCTTCTTGCCACGGCCATCTTGATTTATGACGTCAGAAGCGATACATGCCCAAAATGCTTACAAAGTATATCGAAATGATAGATAGATTCAACAAATGACACTTGCAATAAATTAAACACGCTTCAAAAATATTCCGCAAACACTTTCTTTCTGCTAACCAATAAATAACCGTAAAATAAACGTGACAAGATAATGAAAAAAATGTGATTAAAAAGGAAGTTTGCATGACCACGTTAATTTTACGATTGTATATTGATTGTTAGAGCAAAAAGAAAGTGTTTGGAGTATTTTAGAGGTGCGCTCAATCGATGACAAGTGTCATTTTTTGTATGTATCTGTTTATTTAGTCTTTACAGGAATGTTGGGCATGCATTCTCTCGCTTCTGACGTCATCAATAAAAAGTTCCGCGATAAAAGACTACGGGCCGTATTCTTCAAAAATAGCGCACACAATATCTCAGTGAAAAGTTATGATATACGTGGCATAAACTACAGCTTTTCATAGAAATATCGTGTACGATATTTCTATGAGAATAAGGTCGTAAGAGTCTTAATATCGAGAGAACGTGGGGGGCGGGCGTATAGGCGGCACTCGGGGATGTGGATTGCGTGGGCGGAGATGATACTGCGGAAGGTGCGATGATTCCTTTTATTTCTTTGACGGCCATTCAGCGGAATCTTGGCGGGGGATCGATAGACCGAGCGGCGCCACATTGTAGTCGAGCTGGAGGGCAACGCGGGGATAAACGTGTTACACGGAGCGTGGGAGCGGGTTTTACAACACAAAGTCCTTGAAATCAAGGACCTGCGAGTGCGAGGGCGATGAGGACGAGAGTTCCGAGCGTATTAGAAGTAATGGCATGCAAATGTATGACAAGGTGTAGAACCGACAGAAATAGAAACGCTGGCGCCGACGCTGCCACAGAAAGGGGAGGCACAAATCAACGGAATTCATCAAAAATAAAAAAAGAAGAATAGCTGTTAACGCACGAACGAGATATGACAACCTCGTTGTGTCGTGTTTGTAAAAAAAAACAGGTATTCAACGGGGAGCGGTGCATTGTCCGCATTCTCGTCCAGATGCAGAGGACAATGAACTTGAAAAGGACGTTACATGAATATCGATCCTCGCGCGCCGCTCACCCCATACAGCTCATGCGCCGTGCCCGCTCGTTCCCGGATGCATAGCGAATGCGTGATGTCCAGCACGATTTCGCCCTCCGATTCTCTTTTAATCGGAAGCTTCGCCGCGCGCTCGGGAATTATATCTCATGTTCGTATCGTCAGAAGTGACAATATGATACATAGAAAAAAAGATTTGGTTGAATTAACCAAATATCTGGTCGAATATGAAAGATCCAGAAATTCCGATTGAAGTAACCCGAATTATTTCAATCAACCAAACATCTTGTTAACTTAAACAGAATTCGGGTTACTTCAATCGGAATGTCTGGATCGTTCATATTCGATCAAATATTTGGTTAATTCAACCAAACCCTTTTTTCCGTGTACTATAAAAATATCGATATCATCGGTGATATCAATATTGGAGCAAAAATATCGATATTAATATTATCCAAACTTGGGAAAACTTAGAATTAGAGATAATATAAAAATCAGGTGTTGTCTCACAAGCCACTTTTGAGGATTTCGTACGTCTATAAATAATAATCTTACTATGATATAAAGATACTTTTGACATTGTCTGCACTAGACTTTCTATGATTTGTGATCTAAAAATCTTAAAAAGAATGTGTTAAGGTTCCTAGCTATGACTGTCCTTGTTTTATAGCATCAGAAGCGAGTAATTGTATGCTAAAAATTATCGCGGTATACGTGAAAATAAAACAATATACGCGCAAAGTGACATTCTTCATTGACTCTGCACACTTGTAAAAATGCCCGGACACTTTCCTTTTACTTCAGCCATCAATAAATAATCGTCAAAAAATCAACAGAAGTCGTAAGATAGCTTTAAAACATAAGTTGCACTAATTTTCGGTTATTTATTGAGTGTTGAGGTAAAAGGAAACCGTCTGGATATTTTTTTAAGTAAATATTGTTTCTATCCACGTATACTGCAATATTTTTTGACATACGATTTCTCGAAAAAAAAAAAGTATTCGAAAGAAGATATCAAAGAAAAATTTAAACGAAGTGATACTGACAATATCAAATATCTTTTTTGATATTGAATATCAAAAAAATATCGGTATATTGAATATTAAAAAATGATATTGAACATTAAAAAAATACTCGGTAATAAAAGAAAATTATCAACGTATCAGTATTACCAGGTGTAGAAGTATGAAACCGGAATTCTTTTATACAAATAAGACGTCTGTTGTTCGAAAGTGATAAATAATACTTTATTCAAAATAATTTCCACTGTTTTGAACACATTTTTCCCACCTCTCTGGCAGTTTATGAATGCCGTGCCAAAAAAACTTTTCATCTTTTGAAGCGAACCAGTTATCTAGCCATTTTTCCACATTTTCATACGAATCGAAGCGTTGGTTAGCGAGAGCGTGTCCTAGCGATGCGAACAGGTGATAATCGGACGGAGCCAAGTCTGGAGAATAAGCCGCATGCGGTAGTAATTCCCAACTGAACGACTCGATCGTTTCCTTGACCCGTTTTGCTGTATGTGATGGGGCATTATCATGGAGCAAAATGACATTGTGTTGCCTTTTTGCATATTCTGGTCGTTTTTTAGTCAATGTTCGATTTAAATCGATCATTTGTTGTTGGTAGCGATTAGTATTGACGGTTTGACCAGGTTTCAGCAGTTCATAGTTCATAGTTCATAGTTCATAGTTCTTCGTTCCTCACGTCAAAATCACCACTTTTGAATTTTTTAAACCACTCGAAACACTGAGATTTACCAAGAGCATATTCACCGTAAGCTTCGACAAGCATTCGATGTGATTCTGCAGCAGTTTTCTTTAAATGATAACAGAAAATCAATGCTGTCCGCAAATCATAGTTAGTAGGCTCGAAACGTGACATGTTTAAGGTTATACAAAAATATACTAGAGAATGAAAGTTGGGGTTATGTTTGTTGACAATATTCGTCAGCTGTTAGGAGAATATAATAGCGCGGCAGTAGCGGTCTTACGGTCACTAAACTGAACGCTGGCACCATTTATAGGGGAATTCCGGTTTCATACTTCTACACCTGGTATGTCAACAGTATCACGACATCTCTACGTATTGTTGAGTTAAAGCCTTATTACATATCGCGCTCGTAACGAAAGAGCGATCGAGGAAACAATAACGATGATATCGCGCGTAAAGTGGCAAAAAGGAATTGTGTGACCCTTGACTACCACCAGTGACCACATGCGATGCACCGGCGAATAACTATAAAGTCACTTCAATCTCGCACAGACTTTAAGACCGACGGCAAGATTAGGTTCGAGACATCGGTTGATCAAACTGTGCGTGTAATAATTCCTTCCATGCGTTATCTCATGTAAATTTCCAAGCCGTTTGGAAAGTCCCAAGATTACGTCATACGAAAGAAATATTTCACGGTTAAAGAATACCCGACTTGGAAAGTAACGGAACCCGGAGGACTCGAACACCCGACACGCACGGAAAGTTTCTCCGTGTTGTAACTCTCGCTCATTCGACCTGCGCCAAACCGCCGCGCGTGATACCTCAAGCTGCCGATTGTGTGTAAATGTACCCAAGTA